ATCATTAATATCATTATTGTTCTCATTATCATTATCATCATCATTATATCATCATCGTTATTATTTGTTGTTGTTATTATTACTATCATTATTATCATTATTGATGTCATTCTCATTATCACCACTATTATCATTTTTTAATCATTACTGTTATCAGCATCTTTTATCCTTACTATTACCGTTGTTCATTATCATTATTTTTATAATGATTATCCTCATCATCATCATTATCAATATCATTATTATCATTATTATTATTATTATTATTATTATTATTATTATTATTATTATTATCATCATTATATTATTATTATTATTTTATTATTATTAATTATTATTATTATTATTATTATTATTATTATTATTATTATTATTATTATTATTATTATTATCATTATCATTATTATTGTTATTATCATCATTATTATTGTTATTGTTGCTGTTGTTCTTGTTGTTGTCATTTATCATCATAATTGTTTTAGTTATTACTACGACTATTATTATTATTATTATTATAATTATTATTATTATTATTATTATTATTATTATTATTATATTATCATTATTATTATTATTTCTATTTATTATTATCATTATTATTATTATATTATTATTATTATTATTATTATTATTATTATTATTATTATTATTATTATTATTATTATTATTATTATTACTATTACCACTATTATTATTATCATTATCATTATTCTTAAAATAATTACTATTAGTAACGGTGATAGTAATAATGATGATAATAATGATAATAATAATGAATAATATGATAATGATAATAGTAATAATGATAATAATGATAATAACAATGATAATAATAATAATAATAATAATAATAATAATATAATAATAATAATATAATAATAATAATGATAATAATAATAATAATAATAATAATAATAATAATAATAATAATAATAATAATAATAATAATAATAATAATAATAATAACAATAATAATAATAATAATAATGATGATAATAATAATAACATAATAATAAGGGTAATGAAAATAATAGTGACAATAACAATAATAATGATAACAACAACAATAATAATAAGGACGATGATGATGGTGATGATGATAATAATAATAATAGTAATGATGATAATAATGATGATAATAATAATAATAATGATAATGATAATGATGATGATGAATGAGGATGATGATGATGATAATAATAATAATAATAATAATAATAATAATAATAATAATAATAATAATAATAACAATTATGATAATAAAGATAATGATAATAATAATGATTATGATGATAACAATAATGATAATAGTAATGATAACAATAATAATGATAATAGTCGTAGTAATAACAAACAACAATTATGATGATAAATGACAACAAGAACAACAGCAACAATACTATTATCATTATCATTATTATAGTATCATACAGAGAGAAAGAAGAGGGGGAAGGGGGGGGGGCAGACAGACAGACAGAGTCACTAACCCCGCTTCACCGAGGTCGTAGGTCCCCCCCCCCCCCTCCCCGCGACCGCCCATAGTCCGCGCCCATAGATGGCAAGTCGGGTCGTTAACGTCCTCATTAGCGGTCAAAAACAACGCCGATGATGACGATGCGACTTCGATGACGATGACTATGATGAGGTTTTGATGACCATGACTGTGATGATGAGGTTTTGATGACGATGACGGTGAGAGTGATGATGACTATATGACGATGGCTGTGACGATGACGGTGAGAGTATGGAATGACTATGACGATGAGTTTTGATGACGATGACTATGACGATGGCTGTGACGATGACGGTGAGAGTATGATGATTATGACGATGAGTTTTGATGACGATGACTATGACGATGGCTGTGACGATGACGATGAATGACTATGACGATGAGGTTTTGATGACTGATGTGACGATGGCTGTGACGATGACATGAATGACGATGAGGTTTTGATGACGATGACTATGACGATGGCTGTGACGATGACGGTGAGAGTATGATGACTATGACGATGAGTTTTGATGACGATGACTATGACGATGGCTGTGACGATGACGGTGAGAGTATGATGACTATGACGAATGAGTTTGATGATGACGATGACTATGACGATGGCTGTGACGATGACGGTGAGAGTATGATGACTATGACGATGAGTTTTGATGACGATGACTATGACGATGGCTGGGACGATGACGGTGAGAGTATGATGATTATGACGATGAGTTTTGATGACGATGACTATGACGATGGCTGGTGACGATGACGGTGAGAGTTATGATGACTATGACGATGAGTTTTGATGACGATGACTATGACGATGGCTGTGACGAATGACGTGAGAGTATGATGACGTATGACGATGAGTTTGTGATGACGATACTATGACGATGGCTGTGACGATGACGTGAAGAGTATGATGACTATGACGATGAGTTTTTGATGACGATGACTATGACGATGGCTGTGACGATGACGGTGAGATATGATGACTAAGACGATGAGTTTTGATGACGATGGACTATGACGATGGCTGTGAACGATGACGGTGAGAGTATGATGACTATGACGATGAGTTGATGACGATGTGACTATGACGATGGCTGGTGACGATGACGGTGAGAGTAGTGATGATCTATGGACGATGAGTTTTTGATGACGACTGACTATGACGATGGCTGTGACGATGAGACGGTGAGAGTATGATGACTATGGACGATGGAGTTTTGAGTGAGATGACTATGACGATGGGCTGTGACGATGACGGGTTGAGAGTTATGATGACTATGACGATGAGGTTTTGATGACGATGATCTATGACGATGGCTGTGACGATGACGGTGGAGAGTATTGGCGACTTTATTGTGAGATTGTTTTGATGATTATGTGACGATAGTTTTGATGGATTATGACGATGAGGTTTTGATGACGATGAATATAGAACGAGTGAGGTGTTGGAGGTGGAATGCATGGTGACGAGTGAAGGTTTTTGAATGGAGTTATGACGATTGGTTGTGATGTGTTGTGAGGTGTGGACTTTTGACGTGAGTTTGATGATTGAGGTGACGATGGAGGTGTTGGAGTGGAACTCGGTGTATCTTATGAGGAATGTAGTGTGTTGATGATCATGGACGATGGTTTTGATGTATTGTTGAGTGATTTGAGTTGTTTGTATGGATTGATAGACGATGAGTTTTGATGATTTGGGGAGGTCGACTGATGTAGTTTGTTGATGATTATGATCGAGGTGTGAGGTTGGTGTGATGGATTATGTGGGATGAGTTTTGATGATGGTGTGACGGATGAGGTTTGATGATGTAGTAGTAGTTATTGAGGTGTTGGATTGAGTTTATGACGATGAGTTTTGTGTATGTATGAGCGTATGAGTTTTGATGATTGAGGTGAGGATGATGTTTTTTGAGGTGATGTATGAGCGATGAGGTTTTTGATTGGACTGAGTTGAAGCGGTGGAGAGTAATGAATGGGATTGAGTGAGGTTGTGATGACGGGTGGGCGTGGTGACGGACGTATAGAGTGATGATGACGAAGTGGCGATGGTAGCTGATAGTACACGACGGTAGTGACGATGATGATTATTGGTGTGTATGTTGAGTTAGTTTTGTTATGTTTTGATAGGCAAGCGGCTTTAATAGTGTCATTATTTCTAAAACGGATATTTTATTATCAATTATTTGTTAGTTATGGCATGGTATGCCATTTCTTTTACCAATTGCTATTTTATCATTACTAGGGTTATCGATTGTGGTATTAAGGGAATATTAATTAATTGATCGATTATCATGTGGTATTGATCATATAATTATTATTATTATGGATGGCATCATCATTTGTTATTATTGTCCTCGTTTATGGTATTGATCACCAGTTCATCATGTTGCTCATTCGATGCATTATCAAGTATCAGTCATGATATGTATGTATCATTGCATTCATCATTATAGATTATAGATTGATTAGCATTTATTAATTATCTTGTATTTTGCATGTTAATCATGTATTGATGTTTATATAGATCCTTGAATTATTGGTTCGCATGCATTTGATGATGGTCGATGATGATGTTGTACGTATCTCGCTACTCTGATCTGTTCAAAGTGTTATTATTTATTCTCGTCATCATTAATGATTTGTTTTAGTGGCAATTATTAAAAATCAGCTTGATACGTGTAGTCATGTGTCGCATTTTTTAATGTTATCGATTATATCGAGTGTTGCTGCTTGTGTGATTGTTATTATTATCATTATCATTATTAGTGTATCATTATGTTTTAATTATTACTATTGTTATTTATTATGTATTATGGTGTTGTTGTTGTTGTTTGTTTTATTATTGATTAGCTTTATGCATTATTTAATTAATCGATGTCATTGTTATTATATAATTGGTTATCTAAATCACTTGTTTTTCATATCATAATCACGATTGATAGTATCATTATCATTTATTTCTATGTATCATTATTGACTATTAATTGTTTGTAAATTGGCCGCTTATTATTATTGTTATTATTATTATTATTGATTATTATTCATTAATTATTATTTATCAATATCATTGATATATTGGTTGCTATTGGATTATTAGGTGTTATTGTTTATGTAGTTATTGGTCGTTGGTCATTAATACTGCGATCTGATGTATTTATCAGTATCATTATCAGTTCATGCATATTGTTTAGTCTGGATTTTGGCATTATCATTACGTATTATGCATCATTATTATTGTTGGGCGTTTTAATATGAGTGCATTATTATTAATTATTATTATGCATTATCCGAGTTATTGATTTATTATGTATCTATTATCATTAATCATTAATTTATTATTATGCATGTATTATCATTACAGTTTTATTATCATTGAATGCATTATTGAGTCGTCATTATTATTAGTCATTTGTATTGATGGTATTATTGATTGAATGGTATGTGATTATTTTATTGATTAGGTTGATTATCTATTTATTATTAGTTAAATTATTATTATTATTATTATTATTTATTATTACTAAGTTACCACCTTGTATTATTTATCATTATGCATTATATCCTTAAATAATTATCTATTAGTAACTTGGTGAGATTAGTAGATGAGATGGATTGATCAAAAAGTTTAAATAGAGTAATGAGATATAGATGAGTGATGATGGAGTTGAGTAATGAATATATAGTAATAATATAATATGATTATGACAGAATGATAGATAAGATAATAATAGATCAATAATGTAGTAATATGAATAATGGATGGAATATAATATATAGAAATAATATTATAGATAATAGAGTATGAATATTAATGAAGTTTAATATATAATGGAATAATAATACAATAATAATAGATGATAATGAGATTAATATATGAATGATAGTATATAGCATATAATAATTTAGGATGAGAACGAATATTAATGATGGAGTGAATTCATAGATAACGTGTATGAGTAATGAAGTGGGTAGATGGAGGGAAGGTGAGTAGGTTGACTGAGATGTAGATACGAGGTGATGGATGAGTAGCAGACAGACGAATGAGGTTAGATAGAGGGACGTGATGATAGTGATGGGTGTAGTGATATTGAATAATTATATGTAATTATGGTGATGAGGTAAAGTGAGTGATGATATAATGGATGAATTAGATTAGTGAGCGATGGATGAAGTGAATTGATGAATTGATAAGTGATGATGAAATGAATGAGGATGATGATGATGGATAATGAATAATAATAATATATAATAAGTGAATATGATGAATAAGATGAATTGAATTAAGTGAATAGATAATAATGAATGGGTGTGTGTAGCAGATGTATGATATTGAAAGGATTATTATGATAAATATATTAATTGATTATGATGATGAAATATATGAGTAATAGGTGAATGGATAACAAATTAATATGGATGAGATGAGTCGTAGTAAATGAAAATGATCAGACGATTATGATGATGTTTGAAAGTGATCAACAAGAAGCAAGCTAGGCAACAATACTTGATTAATCATTATCGTCATTATTATTATGTAGTGCATAGCGAGAGAGGAGAGAGAGAGTGGGGAAGGGGAGGGGGGGTCAGTGTAGCGAGGCAGACAGAGGGTCACTAACGCGCGGCGTGCTTTCGACCGGGGCCGTAGGTCCCATGCCCGCTGCCGCCCGTCTCCCCGCGACCGGCCCATAGTGCGCCGCGCTGGCCGGATGGAGTGACTTGGCGAAGTCGGGTCATTAACCTGTCGCTGATTTATTGCGGTCGGAGATAGACATCGCCGATGATGAGTGCGTTTATCGATGATCGTATGGACGTGATTGGATGAGGGTTGTTGTACTGGGACGATGACTGTTGAGGATGTTTGGATGACGAGTGGATCTATGACGGTCGAAGAGTAATGATGACTAGTTGACGATGAGTTTTGATGACGATGACTATGAGCGAGTGCTGTGGCGATGACGGTGAGGAGTATGGGATGACTATGACTGATGAGTTTTTGAATGACGATGAACTTATGGACGATGAGGTTTGATGATTCATGACGATGAGTTTGATGATTATGGACGATGAGGGTTTTTGATGACGAGGTGGATGATGACGAATGGCTGTGACGATTGAACGGTGAGAGTATGATGACGTATGGATCGATGAGGTTTTGATGATGTTATGACGGATGAAGGGTTTGGATGTATGGACGATGGCGTGTGACGATGACGGGTGAGAGTTTATGGAATGGAAGTATGACGGGATGAGGTTTTGGGCTGATTCAGAACGAGTGAGGTTTTGATGAACGATTGGATTGAAGGATGACGGGTTAAGAGTATGGATGAGCATGAGGCGATTTTACGATAACAACGACGAATGACGAATGATAACTGTTTATATATTATTGTATTATCGGGCTTTGTCATGGCAACCTTAGATTTGTCAGTATTTTCTACGGGGATATGTTGTTCATTATCATTAATTGTTATTCTCAGTAATCAGTGTATCTGTTACCTATTGCGTATTATCAATTATTGGTTAGTGTAGTTGGTTAGTTGAAGGAATATTATCATTATGGGATCATTCATACATTAGTCATTATGTATCATTATTATGCATTAATGATGATGATCGCATCATTTGTTATTAGGTTACTCTCCTGTTATGTGATTGATCACCGTTCAGTCATTCTGCATCGATCATTATCGTAATGTATCAGTCAGGTATTATTTATCCCTCTATCATGGCATTATAAGTTGTTTTAGTTGGATGTATGGAGGATTATTGATGCGCTTGATGGTATTGATGATAGTCTTTTATGTATCATGTATCATTGCATCATTATCATTATTATGTTATAGATCCCTGTATTTTGGTATCGGTATATTGGGATATCATAATGTTAACTACTACTAGACTGTGGTCAATGGTTGATGGTGATTGACGGTGCTGGGGGATGCGGTCATCATTAGTGGATCTTTGAGTGACAATTAGTTATTTATGAT